ATCTTTGAGAGATCTTTGTTTGTAATCCTCTTCTTGTGCTATTAGTGAGTGATCTTAGGGGTATGTTGATTCCTTCAAGAGTGATCTATTGAGAGGATTTGTGGGGTTTACATTGTAAAGGGGTGAGATTTGAGAGAAACACCTTTCTTCTTGTAAAGGATTGAGTGGCTCCTTTAAGCCACCATTGTTTTTGTTAGTGGAGAGTGTGGAGAAAATCCTTGGTGAGTGAAGCCAGGGTAGAGGACTAGGCTCCAAGTGGTTGGACCGAACCTCTATAAAATTATTGTGCAAGCTCTTGTTCTCTACTCTCTTTATTTTTGGTTTTGGGGTTGCAAAATGGGGAGAATTTTTGGAACTCCAATTCACCCCCCTCTTGGAGTGCATTGAGTCAACAATTGGTATCAGAGCAAGGGCTCCAATTTGAAGGTTTAACCACCTAGGAGTTGCGGGAATGGCTCAATTTCTATCTTCTCAACCACTTGAAGGTTTGTCTACCACAAGCCTCCTTTCTTTGATGGTACTAATTATAATTATTGGAAGAATAGGATGAAGGTCTTCATGCTTGCAAATGTGCCCAAGGCATGGATTGTGGCTATGAAAGGTCCATATGTGCCTATGAAAGTAGCTGGGGAAAGTGAGGTGCCAAAGGAAGAAGTTGAATGGAATGATGAAGACTTGGTGAAGATCATGATCAACAACAAAGCAATCAACATGCTTCAATGTGCTCTCAATCCAACGGAATTCCATAGAGTTTCCGAGTGTGATACGGCTAAGGAGATGTGGGACATGTTGGAGGTAACACATGAAGGAACAAGCCAAGCGAAGGAGTCAAAAATCAATAGACTCATTTACATGTATGAGCTTTTCAAGATGAAACCGGAGGAGAGCATTCAAGATATGTATACAAGATTGAATGATATAGTCACCAATCTCAAGGCTCTTGGTAAAGTCTATCTTTCTCAAGAAGTAGTGAGGAAGGTTCTTAGAAGCTTGCCCAAGAATTGGGAAGCCAAATTGACCACAATTGAAGAGTCTAAGGATCTCAACACCCTCAAGCTTGAAGATCTCATTGGAAAATTGATGACATATGAGATAGAAGTTCAAGTTGATGGTGGAGTTGAAGTAGTTGAGAAGAAGAAGAAAAATGTTGCTTTCAAGGCTAGCAACCAAAAGGAAGAGAGTGAAGATGATGCTAGTAATGATGAGTCTAGCAATGAGGAGGACATCACCAAATTGATTTCAAAAGAAGTGAAGAGATTCATGAAGAAGAACATCAAGAGCAAGCTTGCAAAAAGAGATGAAGGAGAGTCTACCAAAAGGAGTGTGAAATGCTATGAGTGCAACAAGATGGGGCACTATAGAAATGAATGTCCCAAATTGAAGAAGGGTGAAAGGAAAAACAAGAAGAGCATGAAGAAGAAAGCTTTTACCGCCACTTGGAGCAATGATGAGACTAGCTCAACGGAAAGTGAATACTCCTTGGAAAATGGTGTCGCAAATCTTTGCTTCATGGCTCAAGAGGATAGCTACAATGATGAGGAGGTAAACTCTAACTTCTCTAGTTCAATTAATAAAAGTTCATTTGAGTATTCTTATGATGATTTATGCAAAGTTCTTGATTGCTCTATGAATAACATTAAGAAACTAGGAAATGAGAATATTGCTCTTACTAAAACCATTTCATTGCTTAGGAATGAGATTGAATCTCTCTCAAAACAAAATGAGGTTTTAGTTAAAGAGAATGCCTCTTTAAATGGTGAGATTGCTTCTTTAAAGAAT